GGTCCCTCTGAGTCCAAATTGACTTGATGGTAGTGAGTTTGTTTTTTCTATAAGACATAAGGGTTCTGGTTTTGCTGTCACTGCCCAATGACTTAGTTTTGTAAAAATAGCCACCATTCAACGGGTTCTTATTTTGCTGGTGCCAAAACTGAGCCACCGAGAATTGAAGTGAGCCAAGTATGAGGGGGCTTCAAAAAATTTATGGAAAAATTCCTTATCTTTTAAATTTCTTTTAGGGCCCCAATGTATTGATTGCAGAGTTGGGACTCAAGCCAGAGATCTCACAGAGGGTGAGTAGAGAAATTGTTAAGAATTGTTTAAAGTGTTGCAAAGAGAGGCAAGATACTGTTGCAGTTGAAAAATCTTGGAAGGAGAAGGCCTTGCTTCCCTCCGATACTTTCTCCACTAGCGTTCTGTCCACAGGCCTCTGTGTTGAAGGGCTTTGATTTTCAAGCTCTTCTCCTACTCATGCCAAAGTGTGTTTCCTCATGTTCTTGCCTCGGTGAAATAGATTTGAAGTTTCCCCTGTATTAAAAACTCACTGCCATCAAGTCAGTTCTGATTCACAGTGACCTATAGGACAGGCTAGAGGCACCCCTGTGGGTTTACAAGACTTTAAGCATTTGTGGAAGTAGAAAGTCTCATCTTTCTCCCTCAGAGAGCCTGGTGATTTTGAACTGCTGACCTCATAACTCACTACACTACCAGGATACCTCCTCTGCCCTTATATTAGGAGTGAAGAATTAGTGCTCAGGTCTGATTGCTGTGATTGTGTTTTGGTAAAGCAGTGGTTCTCAACCTGTGGGTCGTGACCCCTTTGGGGGTCAATCACTCTTTCATAGGGGTCGCCTGATTCATAACCATAGCAAAATGACAGTTATGAACTAGCAACAAAAATAATTTTATGGTAGGGGGTCACTACCACATAAGGAACTACATTAAGGGGTCGCAGCATTAGGAAGGTTGAAAACCACTGTGGTAAAGAATCAGGCTAGATTTACTAGTGAACGGTATCTGGTGACTCAAGCAAACCTTTAATATATCTCAGAGGAGGGGGTGGAAGGTGGGGGAGCGGGAGAGGGAGAGAATGATAGGTATGCCAGAGTGGTTTTCACTTTGAGGTCAGTTCACTTGGACTCATAGTCTGCTGCCTACTCACTGTGAGTTCTTGAGCAAGTTACTTATTTTCTCGAAGGCTCAGTTTAGGTTTGAGATCTATAAAATGGGAATAGTAACAACTGCTTTTGTAGCTTGACTTGAGTCAGACGAATTGAGAGAATGTATATGGAAAGTGCTTCCTCTGGCACACTAAGTGCTATGCATTATCATCATGACCATTCACAATGACAACAACAGCAGTTTCCAGTTTCTGACCCAAGACTTGGTGTGAGGCTAAATTATGCTGACTGAGCCAGTTTAATCCAAACCAGTGCATCATTGTCTGTCGTCTTTGTTGGTTGGTTTATTATTCATATCAGCAGTCCTAGCAGCTCATGATGAATATCTAAAAGTCGCAAATAGAACGAACTTTGCAGCTTGCCTGCAGCTTCCTTCCTTAATAGGACTCTTATCTTTCTGTTTCTTTCTAATTGGGCGTCCAAGCCAGTGGATTCTTTTCTGGGCAGTATCTGAAATGAACGGGGCCCTGGTGGCTCAGTGGTGAAAGTGCTGGGTAGAACCAACCAGCTGCTTCTTAGGGGAAAGATCTGACAGTCTTCTATGAAGATTACAGCTTTGGAAACCCTGTGGGGGTAGTTCTCTGCCCGATGGGGCTGTCGTTGGAACAAACTTGATGGCAGTGGATTTGGTTGTCAGACATGAGGATTTTGTTGGAGCCAACCTGACTGGTTTAGAGCCTCTGACTCTGTATTTTTGTCTATTGCTTTCTGCCCTTCAGCCAGACATGAAGCAGTTAGCTCATTAAGGGAATTTTGACTTCTGCCATGGCTTTCCTCTGATTTGTTTGCCCAATTCTGGTCCTTGTGTGAGGTCAGGAGGGCGCATTCAAGTACATTGACCCGGATTTTGTGCTCAAGTTGACTTTCTGCCCCACTGAGCTTTATACTTGGGTCACTGTAACTGTGTGTATGTGTGGGTGAGTGGGTGGGTATGGAAACAGCCTGTTATTTCAAGGTGATTAAAAAGTAGCCTGTTCCTGTCTTCTTCAAATGAAGCACAGACAGAAAAGCCTCCCTGTTTTTTTGGGAAAGATCAGTCTGAATTGGTTTAAAAAAAAAAGGAATTAGAGACTTTTTATACTTTTTGGGCAAGCCTCTGCAGTACCTTTCTCCCCTTGTCTTACGGCTTCATGTGTCCCATGACTGTTCTCTCAAGCTACCATAGCAGCTTCCTCCTGTCTCCACTCTCTGTAGGTCATTGCATGCCACCACCATGCCAGGCTTTCTGTATACAGGGTTGATCAGAGCACTCCAGGGACACCCGTTGGCTACTGCATAAATTCCAAATGGCCTGGTATTCCCAGCCTGTGGCAGTCTATCCCTGTCCTACTGCTTTAATGATATCCTCTGTGTCACCGACCTGTACCATTTGCTCCTGATAAAGTGGTCTATGTGGTCCTCTAGGCATGCCTCACATTTGTGCCTCTGCCAGTTCCTTTTACTCAGAATTCCCTCTCCCTAGCGCCCTACTTTTTGCCTTAGAGCCACTTTCTTCAGTGAGCCTTGTCTGATGCCTCCTCATCTGAATCCCCATAGCAACACCTTGATGACAGAATTCAGCTCACTTTATTCTGGTTAGTTATTTGTCTCTCATTAAATGAGCTTCTCAAGGGCATGGACTATACTTTATTTTGTTTTCCCAGCATAATGCTCTGTGCAACACGAACACCATAAATATGCTTGTTGAATGTATTAACATGAAAGCTGGAGGAATGATAATAATACAGCTCAAATCCCACTTCTTCCCTGCAGCATTCTCTGACTACTCCCTGCCATGGTGCATTTGCATGCTCAACTCCCAGAGCCCTCTGCCTCTGAACAAGCTTGATTCCTTGGAGTAAGTCATCTCCACTGGATAACAAATTTCTGGAGGGCAGAGATTGCAGCCTTCATTGTGTGTGTGTGTGTGTGTGTGTGTGTGTATCCTTAGCCCCCAGTACATAGAGAGTGCTCAATACTTGCTTGTGAGTGCAAGAGTCCTGCTGTTTGGTCAGCCTTTGTGCCTGCTATTTGATTTGCCTGTTCTGTGATGTACTGAACAGGGGTCTCCAACACAGATGCTTTCAAGGCCAGGCAGGTAACAGGAATTGGTGGCAAACTGGATTACTGTTGTCCTCTCAGAGGGACAGCTGCTGCTCAACCTGTCACTCATGAGTGAGTGTGGTTCTACTGTGGCCTGATAACTTCATTAAAATGTCTTCATTTATAAACTATCAAGGGCTCATGCGGGAGGGGGGACCGGGGAGGGAGGGGAAAAATGAGGACCTAATGTTGGGGTTTAAATGGAGAGAAAATGTTTTGAGAAACGATGTACAAATGCGCTTTACACAATTGATGTGTGTATGGATTGGGATAACAGTTGTATGAGCCCCTAATAAAATGTTAAAAAAAAAACAAGAAAAAAAATGTCTTCATTAATTAGTGTCCACTGTTTTACCTTTTTAGTTTCTAATGTTCATTGCAATTTTTTTTCTTATTTTCTTTTGTGTGTGTGAAAGAATGATTATTTATTTATTTTTAAATCATTTTATTGGGGGCTCATACAACTCATCACAATGCATACATCCATCCATTATGTCAAGCACATGTGTCAAGTACATTTGTTGCCCTCACTGTTATCAAAACATTTTCTTTCTACTTGAGCCATTGGTATCAGCTTCTCATTTCCCCCCCTCCCATTGCAATTTATTATTAAAGGGTTTATTAAGTCAATTGAGGTTTTAATCTGTTTTATGTTATGGTTGTTAATTTTTCTTTTTTAAAAGTATTTTTCTGTATATGAAATCCAGGATAGGTAAATCCATAGAAACAGTAACTGGAAAATAGTTCCTTGTGGGTATGGCATGGGAGTTTAGTGGCAAATGGGGAGCTAATAACAAGTACAAGAACAAAGAAAATGTTCTCAAATTGATTGTGGTGATGATTGTACAATTCTTGATGTGATTGAACTATTGTATGCTATATGGATGATATGCTAATAAATCTGTTAAAAAATAAAGGGCTTATTAAGGAAGTTAACAAGTTGTAATACCAGTGAGAAATGCTCAGGGCAGTTGGTTACCAGGTCATGTTAATAAAAAAAAGAAGTAAACTATAATGAAAGATTCAAAGACTTAGAGGTAGAAAACCAAAAAGGAAGAACATATATCATATCTCAGAATATCTTAAATTGAAAGAAAAGAAGATAAAACTTAAACCTTGAGTTTCAATACTGATTCTATGGGCAAAATATTGCATGATGCAGGAAGCATCAAAAGAAGATAGAACCAATACACAGAGCCACTGTACTAGAGCTAGTCAAGTATTTCCACCATTTCAGGAGGTAGAATATGTATAAGAACCCATGGTACTGAAAGAAGTCCAGGCTGTACTGAAAATAGTCAAAACTAAAGGTTCAGGAATTGAAGGAATATCAATTTCAACAAACTTAAGAAGCACTTGAAAAGTACTCACTGGTCTATGCCAGGAAATTTGGAAGACCACTACTTGGCCAACTGATTGGAAGGGATCGATATTTGTACCCATTCCAGAGAAGGGTGAGTGTGGTGCCTTGGTGGCATAGTAGTTATGCATTGGGCAGCTAACCAAAGAAAGGTGACCCAACAGAATGCTCAAATTATAAATCATAAATTAGATTAAAATATCATTGATTTCACATCAAGTAAAATTTTCCTGAAGCTCATCCAACAACAGTTGCAGCAGTATATTGACAGGAAGCTGCCAGAGGTTCAGGCTGGATTCAGAAGAAGACATGGAACAAGAGATATTGCTGATGTCACAGGGATCTTGACTACAAGCAGAGAAAACTAGAAAGATGTCTACTTGTGTTTATTGACTATACAAAGGCATTTGATAGTGTGGACTGTAACAAATTGGATAGCCTTGAGAAGAATGGGAATTCTGGAACGTATTTTGCTCATGCAGAACCTGTACATGGATCCAGAGGCAGTTGTGTGAACAGAACAAGAGACTATATAGTACATGGTTTCAAATCAGGAAAGATGTGCATCGGGGTTGTATCCTCTCATTATACTTATTCAGTATGTATGCTGAGCAAATCATGAGAGAAGCTGCGTTATAGGAGAACGAGACATCAGGATTGGAGGAAGACT